CCAGAGGGAGTCCCACAGGACCAGCCAAAATCCTTGGCTTTGTGTAGGAGAGAAGTCAAACATGAGCCAGCAGGAGGTGAAAGCAGAGTTTACTGAAGATAGAGAGCGGATACAGGGTCTGGGAGAGGAGAAAGGAAAGAAACTTGAGTCTTGTCTTTGTTTGAGGTCTGGGGTTTTTTACTGAGGCCGGTGGTCTGGTGTATGGGTCTTCTCAGGCATCCACGAACTGGTTAGAACCAGGACAAGGGCCCAGGTGTTATTCCTTGGAGTCAGGAGGCCTTGGCATCGAGATGTCTAGTACCAGTGGTCTCATATACACATATGATAGCTTCATCAAGTCATTCTCACCTCGTCTTTCCTTAGATGTTATCTATTCTAGAGAAATCATTAATTTCTCATCCCTTAAAAGGAGGACATATGCTATGTGCATTACAATGCATGTCTGAAGTGGGGTGGGAGTGCAGGGCCTAGCAGGAATAGAAGCAGGAAAAGGAACAAAAAGCAGATTGTTATGGAGTCCTTCAGTTTCCCTGTCTCACTATTTTTGTTTTTATTTTGTAGTATTTTCTGTTCTTTGTGTCTGGAGTTTCTTGTTATTTGGTTTGATTTTCTTTGGAACGTAGCATTTTTCTCATAATTCCATATATTTTCACATTTTATTTTCTATTTAGACAATGTTTTACCTTTTTTTCTTCTAGTAACTTAATCACTTACAAATTTCTTGACAACTCTATGTTTCGTTTCCAAATGCCCATTTAAAATATCATCTTCACGCAGGTATGAATTATATACAATAAAATTCACACATATTAGTGTGTAGGCCAATGATTTGAGAAATGTGTACCTCTGTGTAACCACAAACCCAGTCAAGCTAGAAAGAGTTTTCATCTGCTGAACCAGTTCTATTCTTTTGCCATTCAGTCTCCCCCAGCAACACCACACCAGGCAACCAATATTCTTTTTGTTAGTATAGATTAGTGTTTCCCTTCCACAGTTGCATATCAATGGCTTTATAGAAACAGATTCTCAAATCTGGTTGTTTTATTTTTCCATAATGTCTGTGACATTCTTCTGTGTTGTTTCTTGCATCAGTAGCTCATTCCTTTCCATCATGAGCTTTGTGGCATTATATAGATATAAAATTTGTTTATCCATTCCAATATTGATGGACTTTTGGAATGTTTCCAGGTTTTGGTAATTTTTTTCCAGGTTTGGCAATTATGATTGAGCTGTTTGTGAACATTTGAATTCAAGTCTTTGAATGATCATATATTTACCTAAGTGGTAAATACCTAAAGGAAAAGTGGATAAATATCTAAAAGGAAAATTGCTAGGTTATGAGCATGATTAAATCTGTAAGAAGCTGCCATGCTGAGTTTCAAGTTAACTAGCATTTTACATTCCCACCAGCAATGTATGAGAATTCATTATGAGAATTGATTCTCATCTTTATTAACAAACAGGATGGTCAGGTTTTAAATTTTAACCACTATGATGTATATATTGTGGTATATCACTTTGCTTTAATTTTATTTTGCTGGTTGACTAATGATGGTGAATACATTTTCATCTGCTTATTGGTCATTGTTATTTCTCCTTTTGTGAAAACTTAATTTTTTCCCAACCTTAGGTAGGTCATTTGTCTTATAATTCAGTTGTAATAGACACTTTGATATTTGGGAAATAATTCCTTTATCAAGTATGTGAATTGCAAATATTTCCTCACATTTTGTGTCATAACTTTTGAGTTTCTAACAGTTTATTTCCAGGAACATATGCCTTAATTTGATGAAATCCAAATTGACCATTTGTTTAATTATTTATTTTGTGCTCTACATAGGACACTTTTTTCCATCTTCAAAGTTACAAAGATTTGTCATACTTTTTTTTTTCTGGAAAGTTTACACATGTACTTTTACATTCATCTCTATGATTGATTCCAGGTATTTTGTGTATGGAATGGGGTTCAACTCTTTTTCTCATATGGATTTTCAGTTGTTTAGCACAATTTGTTGGAAATGGTATCCTTTTACTCACGGGATAACTTGTCATATTTATCAGAAATCCACTGAATATAGGTGTGATGTGTTTTTGTCTATTTCTGGACTTTTTATTCTTTCCCACTAATTTATATATTTATCCTTATATCATTAGGCCCTGCCTTGATTACTATAATGTGAGTCCTCCAATTTGTTCTTAATTGTGGGAGGTAGAATAATGGTCTCCCCAAAGATGTCCATGTCTAATCCCTAGTACCTGTGATTATGGTATCTTACATGGAGAAAAGAACTCTTCAGATATTAATATTACCTTAAAATCGAGAGGCTATTCTTGATTTTCTAAATGGGCTCAGGGTAATACCCCATGGAAAGGGGGGTGGAATGGAGAGAGACAGAGCGAGAGACAGAGAAAGAGAGAGACATGTAGACTGACAGACAGAAGGATATACATGAGGTTGAAGAAGGATCAGAGAGAGACAGTTGCTGGCTTTGAAGATGGAGAAAGACACCATGAACCAAGAAAGGCAAGAAGCCTCTAGAAGCCAGAAAAGACAAGGAAACAGATTCTCCCTTGGAGCCTCAAGAAAGGAACACAGCTCTGTAGCAACTTGATTTAGTCCAGTGATACATCTGTCAGATTTTGAACTGACAAAATTTTAAGAAGTAAATTAGTATTGTTTAAGCCTGTAAGTATGTGGATTTTTTTGTAGCTGCAGTAGAAAATTCATACATTAATTTTTAATGTTTTTTGGCTTTTCTGTTTTCCATTTTCTTTGAATTTTAGTATTATCTTGTTAATTTCTACAGCAAGCCTACTAGGATTTTCACTGGAACTCAGTGAATCTGTATATCACTTTAGGGATAGTTGATTGTAAAAATATTTTTTCCTCCAATTTAAGAACGTGTTTTAGCTCTCCATTTATTTAGGTCTCCTTTAATTTTTCTCAGGAAGCTTATATAATTTTCAGACTATGGGTTATGTACATGTTTTGTTAAATCTTTCCTTTTGTGGCACAGGCTTTTTTAAATACTATTACAAATGATATTTCAAGTTTTGATTTTCCACTTCCCATTACTATTGTATAGAAATATAGTTTCATTTAATGTATTGTCCTTTTATCATGATCTTGCTTAATTTACTATTAGTTTGGTAATATTTTTATAGGTTCTGTAGGTTGTTACATATATTATAGAGTATCTGATGATCAAGATTAACAGGACTCCACAGCATAGATTTACATCAGGCTTTGTAAAAGTTAAGACGCAGCCCAACAGGAGAAAGAAACAAAGCAATCATTGGGAAGGTTGAACTCTTTCAGGCACAGCCAGCCAGTATCATGTCTCAGGATGTTCTTCATCTATGGGTTCCAAATCACCAAGATATATGCAAGGTATCTCAATTTCAGGCAGGCTAATGCACAAATTTACAAAGAGGTCTCATATGTCATTATGTTTACATACTTAAAACTAGTCTGTGTAACCAGTTAAACCAGGTATAAACCATGAATCTATATATTCCTCCAAAATGTAGACAAGCTTGTACAGGGTGCTTCCAAGGGAGTTTTATACTTAAACAGCAAATTATAAATCACTAGGTACCATGTCCAATGCTTATCTTGGCCAGGGGTTAGCACTAGAATTTTAGGTACACCTGGAGATAACTAATAGAGCAGTTTCATTCCACCTGTGAAATAATCCTATCCTTACACAGTTCATCTTCCTGATCCTTGGTTAAGCTTTCTTAAGTACAAATTGCTCATGAGTATTCTTTATTCCATGCATTTTAGATAACATTTATAGAATAGAAAAAGCAAAAAGACAAGCACCAATGGCACATAGGTATCGCTTTCAAGAAACATTTGAGTTTTTTAAAAATTTTTTATTGTTATGTTAATCACCATATATTACATCATTTGTTTTGGTGTAGTGTTCCATGATTCATTGTTTGTTCATAACACCCAGTGCTCCATGCAGAATGTGCCCTCTTTAATACCCATCACCAGGCTAACCCATCCCCCTACCCTCCTCCCCTCTAGAAACCTCAGTTTGTTTTTCAGAGTCCATCATCTCTCCTGGTTCGTCTCCCCCTCTGACTTACTCCCCTTCATTCTTCCTCTCCTGCTATCTTCTTCTTTTTCTTTTTTCTTAAAATATGTTGCGTTATTTGTTTCAGAAGTACAGATCTGTGATTCAACAGTCTTACACAATTCACAGTGCTCACCATAGCACATACCCTCCCCAATGTCTATCACCCAGCCACCCCATCCCTCCCACCCCCCACCACTCCAGCAACCCTCAGTTTGTTCCTGAGATTAAGAATTCCTCATATCAGTGAGGTCATATGATACATGTCTTTCTCTGATTGACTTATTTCGCTAAGCATAACACCCTTCAGTTCCATCCACATCGTTGCAAATGGCAAGATCTCATTCCTTTTGATGGCTGCATAATATTCCATTGAGTTTTAACAAATATTCCAGCATAAACATGTTTCAGATTTTGACAACTCTCCTACTTCCTTCCAGAACTCAAATTTGAACTTTGTGAAAGGTATTTT